GAAAGCGGAAATTGTTCAAAGAGAAGCCAACTGACATTGTGCATGTGACACACAATTTATGGGAAAAAGGGCAAAGTTCGCAGAAAAGTATCCCTCGGGATTACTGTAAATTTGAATGAAGAAAATGGAAAATTGAACAAAATGCACTTATCTTATTAGTTATCAAACTGATCGTTTTTAATGAGTGATAAGTATATGATGCAAGATTATATTGTGTATAAAGTGTTTACTGTGTGTTATCAGTTCCAAAAGTGATAAATGGTGCCGGTTTTCTATGCCTTTTTACATAATTTGCAGCCTGCAACTTAAACTTTTTTATGAAAAAAAAAAATGATATGATTGAATGTTGGTCGACAGCCAAGTGAAACATTCTGTTGAAGCCAGACAAGCGCAAAATGTTTGTTGGCTGCTTTTTCGATAGCAAAAGCGATACAATTCCCAAACTGCATCTAATAATTTTGGATTGAATGCAGTAATGCTACATAATGTTCGTGATAATGATAATAATGCAATGACTGTGAGATTAAAGGCGAAAACACTTTCATTTGCTAACAATAAATAAACTTTTCAGTGTAAGATTTTAATAAAAAATATCATCTAAGCCATCACAATTATATTTTTATTAGTCAAACATTCAAAACATATATGCCTTCATTTACCATTTTCACGAAAATTCCAAAAATCAAAGTAAAAATATGAAATTTCTGCAACTGTCATCTTCCTCCTTTCTAATAATTTTTGAAATTAAGCTTGGAAATGTCCAAAAACTTATAGTTTTCTATAACAAACTACTTGACTTTTCATTTATTGGTATTACTTTAATTAAATTGACAGGAAATGAGTTGTATGAATGAACACAATAGTGGTGAATTAGATAAAGGATTCTGACTAGTGAATGATTCTTCTCCTTCTTCATTATGGCTTTTTAAAATTTCTCATTGATATGTATCTTCAAATATTGGCCACAGCAAAATTTTTTCTTTATTATTTTGAATGGCAAGTAATCATGAAAGGATCTAATTTCATAATCTTCTTGGTACTCATTATGAATTATTTTTTGGAACCATCTATAAAGTTAGCATCGGCTAATTATTTCAACCATATTTTATACTTATTTTATGAGGCCATGACGTCACAACTACTACTTCCGAAAACACTGCTATATTCATGCTTTCCGAATAATTTGTTCGGTCCAATGATTTGACGATGAGATTATACTTTTTGTTAAATAAGATTACATTATTAATCATGAAGTACCACGTTTTTTCCTCTTGACCATTCACTTCTGAAATTCTTACTCCCATAAATAAACGGTTCGGAAATACATATTATCATTAAAGTGAGTCGCGTTCTTCGTTCTTTTCTGCAACGTTAATTTGATTCTCACTAAATTTGGAGATGAAAGAAACAATGTGGTACAAGTCAAGTACATTAGAAAGTCTCCTTATAGCAGATAAGAATGAGAAATCTTCTAAGAAAATCAATTTCTGGATAGTCATTGAATCGATAGAGACTCTGGATACCAGTGGATCATAATCAGTATCTTTTGACAAATATCGAAATGAAGAATGAAGTGTTGTGAGTTACAGAAGATATTGACATACACGAATAATGACATCAGCTGATCCTAAATCAAGAGATTTCTCTCCTCATTTTGTTTAATTTGTCGCACGCCAGCTGTCTTGGTTTACGCATTTCTAAAAAAATTAAAATAAAATAAAGCAAGGTCGAATAGCTCAAAAAAGTTTGCCACTAATTTGCTAATGGAAGCAAGATGACACTGATTTAGACTATTTTAGTTTTATGAAGTTAAAGGTTTCTCATTTGTTGCGGGCCGATCTGTTCCATCTTTCCCATCCCTAAAGCATGCTTGCATTCTGTGAAAATGACTGCATGAAAGTGAAAAAGTATTTCCATCCTGCTGCAAGTGCTTCTTTGTAATATCCGTTTATGTTGTCGGAATCATTAAACGGACTTCGCTAGCCAAACTCTTTTTGTTGTTTGTATCACGGTACCAAAGTCATTCATTATATACCCAATCCTCATGTTTCAAAATTTTTTCAGTTTCAATTGGTCAGCATTAGCTGGAAGGGTCAAATGGGTATGTCCTCAACCTGTTTTCAATAAGACGTGGAATAAACATGTTCACTTTATCCGATTTATCCTACAACTTGTTTTCCAAATACATACAATTATGAAAGCAATCAGTGATTTCAATGTACATAAATGTTTAACAAGGAATTGATTGCATGAAATGACTAAGAATGAGATCGTTTTGAAGAAATGGTGCAACAGTAACAAATCAAATCCAAAACGTCGAGGCGAAAAAAGTTATTTCTTCTTTCTGCTTTCAGATATTAAACTCTCATTTCATATTTTAATCTCAATAAATGTACAATTTAAATGCAATTGATATAGTACTGTACAACAAAGGTGAATTGAAGCAGAATATACAATGTGATTATACATGGCAATGGAGACACATTCATTCATTAAGCGTCACAAATTTCAATAAATTGATTTGATATGCTGCGAAGTATGTTATTTCTTTTGTCTAGAATTGTTGTACTGCTCATAAAGAAGTCAGAAATGAGTGCTCCAAGATTCAAGAAGGCAGTCTGCGGTGTGTATCCTTCATTCTTAAATATATATAGTGGGATTCGTCCTGAATTCTGGATTTTATTTTGATCGAGAATGGTTTCGTCTGCTAACACTTAAACGAACATTTCCAAATCGATCCTTCCGTTCCACTGAACGATGGGATTCAGCAACGATAGAGATATCATCCACAGACATGACGATATGGATCATTCTCACTGCTATGATATTGTTGCTAGTAATGGTAACAGTGACAGAAAAGAGATGTGGATGGCAATAAGTGCAAGCAGTAGATTCAAAAGTGCTTGTAACGTTTCAGTAAAAATGATTTGAAAGCGATTGCTGGAAAGTGTTCCTTTTAAATAGACAACGGAGACCGCCCATTAGACAGAAGACTGTCTTTATCGTTTCTGGCTACACTGCAAATAAAACTTAAATTGGCAACACTCTATTACTGACTGATTGGATCACTGCTAGTTAATGTTAATGCTTCGCTGATAAATGGCGTTGATAATGGGAGCTTAGTTGATGACAATAATATTGTATCTTCCGCTTTCACTGTTTCCTGATTAACCTTTGCAATGTCTCTCAGATGTTTGAAGCAATCAAAGGATATAGTGAATTGTAGGTCGATGATGCTATTGCTGCTACTGCTGTTGCTGCTGTTACTTCTGCTGCTGTTTCTGCTATTGCTGTTGCTGCTGCTGCTATGAAAACCAAAAACCTTGCACATAAAGGAGATCAAAACTATTCTGTAGCTTGACTACCTTATCAGAAAGTATCAAAATCGCGATGTTGTGGTTATGGTAAAATATGGAGCCAGTCTGATATCGTTTTGCAGATTACAGAATCACTTAATGGATAGAATACCGCATTGTAATGGCTGATGAATTTCAAATTGCTATATCACAGAGCATTTCACTTAAGAGCCCAACCACCCAATCAACCTCAAATTAAAAAGTTCTTTACTCTATTGAGAAAAAAAAATTGTATTTAACGACTCCATTCCAGAGATATAATTAAGAAATGCACTCGAATACCTCAAAAAGAAGCTCCTCGCGTTAATTAATTGCCATCAACTAATTAAAATTAATTAATTGTGAAACGCCTAATTAATTAATCTTAATCAATTAATGTTAATTATTTTCGTGAAATGCTTAACTAGTTAATATTAATCAATTAATCAAACCTGCGCGCGAAGATTTTGGTATTTTGCCTGTAGGGAAGAAGTCCGGAGTGAGGTCCCTGTTGGGCTAAGCCTGTTCATTGAAAGCCTATTTATAAACATTCCAGCCTATTTATAATATGCACTAGGATTTCTTAAGCCATGGAAAAATATGAAAATGAAGTTTTTTTTTTGGGATATATTCCAATCTGATCAACTGCTGCTTTCTTCTACGAACAAAATGGCAAATTTCTCGCTTATAGTGGAATAAAATTTAAATTGAAAACCGTCCCCAAATTTTTGGCGCTATCGTTCGGTAATTTCAACAGTTAGTTTTCTACGCCACTTAAGCCTTTGTCATGACAACTTTCGTACGTGACATAACTACGACGAGCTTTTACAACAGCTAGCAATCTTATTTGTAAACATACTGAAATAGACGGAACTAGGAAAAAACACACTCTTCTTTGCACCAATTAGAACTAGACATTCGCCCCAGTGATTAGCTTTTGTTAATTTTGTCTTATATAAGGAGAAAAGGGGCAGAAATCCTATCCTACTTCATTATGTTCATTCTCAGTTGTCATTTTTTTTTTTTGCATACCAGAACCCGACTGAATTAGGATCTGATCCTCGTTCCCCGGTCTCCCGCAATAATCATTACACAATTTTTGGTCATTAGTTTTATAGCTATTTTGAAGGAAATATTGTTTTTCAACATAATTATGGAAAACAACGCACTCTTCATTTTTACAATTTCAATTAATTGTCCACATTTCTACTTTCTATTTCCTATTTCTTCAATTTCTTACTTTTCCTTTAGTAGTTGAAGCGTGAAGCGCCAAAGATTATTAAGCTCAGGATTACGCAGATAATACGTGTGTGTGTGTGTGTGTGTGTGTGTGTGTTGTCACCAAAGTTCGGTGTCCGTCTAAATTGCTGCATGTGTTGCATACCACTAATTCAAGAAGGAAGCATTGGAAAAATTAGTCCCTTTCTAGTTCAGTCTGATCACGTCATTTTTCTCTTTTAAATTCATTATCTTGCACTTTTCTAGATTTCACTGATATGTTGTCGCCCATTGCCGCACATACCAACAATTTAATTTTTCTCATTTGCTATGAAATCATCGATACCTGAGAAACGTAATCAGTGCCATTGTCAATGGTTTAACTTACTATTTGGTAAGTAATTCTAATTCAAGTGCAAAAGGATTATGAACTTCCTAGTTGTATTTTATTTCTGACACTGGTTTTCTCAGATCTATCTTTGCCCACACTTGGATTGTTATTCCATTTTCTCTTATCAGGGAAAGACCTTGAGTTATGTTTAAATTTCGACCACCTATTATTTGCACATATATTTCGTTTTTTCTTCCGTTGGTGCCTCAATGAAATTACAGCAATAATAGATAAAATCCAAGCTTTTTATAAAAATGTAACAGTGGAATTATGAGGGAATTCCGATAAAGTTCTGGTCGTCGTTCTTGACCTAGGGAAATCGTTTTTGATGTAGATGAAAGAGGCTGGATAAAAGGGATGAGAAAAAAGACGTTATGATGATATGAAATGTAATAATCAGGGCAACCGGAAAGATATCACAAAATATGAAAGTAAAATAATCCAGACGTTTCATTTGTCTCGACGTGCTCATAATTGATACTTTTAAATTCAAACATAAACTGCACAGTTCAAATAAAGATGAGGTCCCTTCGAATGTTTGTTTCGCTTAACAAGCAATCGATCGTCTGTCGCGTGCAATGTTTCGTAATGGTTCAGTGACCGGTGTCCGTATCTGCAATGTTTATTATTATCTTTTCGATGATTCCTCAGATAGCACTCCACAGCTGATGATATGTGCAACGTAACAGCATTTTAATTTGATTGTTGATTAAAACGCGGTACTAATTTGGGAACCATTCAAGGTCCTACTACTGCTCCTCTCCTTGGTTAATTCGCAAAAGGTCAAGTAGATAAAAATGAACACTTCCAATTTTTGCGATTGGCATCAAGTTAATTGGATGTGCTAGGATTATAATGGAAAAAACGTTCTAGCAATGCCGATGATTAGTTAGTTTTGCGCAACTGCACGGTTATGGTATAGACGTGGAATCCCTCCTGTAACTTAATTGAAGAGTATGATTCGAGATGCTAAAAATAATGACTAATAGGCAATGAATATTCTCACTGGGAAAAAGCAGTTTCATCTAAATTTGTATTTCATTCTTAGAGTTGAATAACTATAAAAAAATGGATAAAACGAATGAATCACAATGAGAATTCATCGAACAGTAGACGCTCAACTCTTGCATTCATTGCAACCTTATACATAAATAATGCTCAGTGAAACTGATAACATGAATTTTTACTAATTTGAATGAGAATGTATGTGACACTTAAGAATTCCATTCCCAATGACAATAACCTCCCATGATGGCAGGATAGTGGAAGAAGCAAAACAAAAAAATAAGTAATCAAGGACATATGTTAGAGAAATATGAATATTTCATTTCAACTTTATACTTCATTTCATAGGACAAGCTTCTTAAGAGTGCAATAACAGGAGGAGCGAAATGAAGTTCAGTATTATTGAGAAGCAGTGTTATATTTTTACATAACTGTGCTTTCCTTTTTGTTTCGTCCAGTACTTGATTTATTTCATCACAAGCATCCATTCCCGAAAGGGTTACATCTGATTATGTATTTTCTAATTACACACACACGTACATAGACTTATATACACATACACATACACGCACATACACACGTACACAACACACGCACACATAAATAAGCACAATCCATTCAAGTACTACGAACTTAACAACTTAAGCTCATTATACATAAGCAATGGTAAGAATGAAATATGAAAATGAATGAAAGATTTGGCAGATGCATCTTTTACCAAATTCGCTCAAACTAACTGCATTTATGCGCAGGCTAGTTTTCTGATGCTCATGCATGCTTTGCACATCCACGACTCGCATTCACGTGTCATGTTCGAAATAGGTATTTATTGCTGTCAACTGATGCTGAATTTTAAAATTCGCAGCGATCTATACATACCATTCGTTCACACGGTAGTTTGGCGAACTTGTTAGAATATATTAAAACCACTTCTCAACATGGTATATCTCAATAAGAAGTACTGAGATTGTTGGTAAAATGTTGCAAACAATCCAGGCAATCGAATATTCAAGAGATTTTCATTTCAAATGCAGATTTAGTCCTAAAAAATGCCTTTAAAGTGGTTTGGGATTTGCGACTGCAAAACATCGCGTATCCACTAGGAATCCGAATCCAATTCATGTGTTGGACTTGTGGATCCAAAGGTGCTTCTGTTAATCTCGGAGCAATTCACATTCTTGAAATGTTTTGAAAGCTGAATTTGATGCTTGGTAAATATTTATACGTTTGTTGCTAACTAAAAAAAAAAAAGAAATCTCTTCTACTCAAAAAATTTTTTGTGTGACAAAAAGGAGGAACGCTTTCTCAAAACAATGCCAAAAAAGAAATCCTTAAAGCTCAAAGGTGAAAGCCCTACGAAATAGGATTCTGCCTTTTTTGAGTCTAAATTTCATATAGTCGGAATTTGAATTTCTAGAATTCCATTAGCGAAACATTTTAGGGTAAAGTTTGCAACAGACAAAGTGTATAGAATTAATTTATATTGGAATAAAACTGGAGAAATTAAGTACATTTCCAACTGCAACTTTTTTGAATTTTATGCTCCAGTAAGAACTTATTCCCAAGCGATGATTCAATGTAGGAAAATCAACTAAATGAATCCATAACCAAAACAGTTCGAGTTTATTTTGCATTGAAGGGTACTTCGAGATGGGCAAGAGAAACGTATAGCCAGGATAAAGAAAATTTATCTTTTTATTTGCAAAATTTCTGTCACAAAATTATCCTACATTGGAGTGCCATTATTATTTAAATCTTCCTGAGTTTTTGTCATAACGATAAAAATTAAAACAATTCAGATACTATCAAAATGAAATTTTTGCGAAATATGAAATAAGTCTTAAGTTGGTAAATCAGTACGATTGCGCATGATAGAATTGAGAGAATTGAAAAATTAAATTAAATGAATTCTACGAAAAAGATTTACATCTTTAGGTCGTCGATTTTTGGGATCAAATGTCGTCACGCTGATTTTATCGGCCCATCGAATGCGGCGTCGTAATGAATCAGTAGGTTGTGCCATCTTCTCATCACCCTCAGGCTGCAGACGGATTACCGTTTCGACAGTATTTGAAAACAAAATCGTATCGCGATCGAATAATAAATCATCCTTCAAGTTTCAATGTAATTTTGTCCGTTACCTGCCTATTCATACATTGGTTCTCTAATTGAAAACTTCAGGTTAAGTTGGCTCAATTTTCTTGAAATCCATTTGCGAATTATTTAATTTTTTCGGTTATTAAGCTGCAGCTACATATTTGTAAAAAGAAAAAGTAGTTTAGCTATGCTGGTAAACTGTAGTTTGTTACTTTAATAGTCATATTAATTTACAAACTAATTGAGAGTTAAACAGCAACTGCTTTCATTTTGGATACTGGGCCGAATGGATTAAATTCAATTTTTTCGAATGGTCGTGAATCGAGTGTCTTCTTGCCGGTGCAAACTTTTTCCAGGATATCCATGTCAACTGGTAAATCATCATCTGTCACTGCTTCCTCTTCTCTGAAAATTCATTAATTTAAGAGACGAATTGAAATTTTAACCAATTCAACTGTTTCAAGTCCCTTGCACTTCGCTTGCGCAATATTCCTAGCGGTTGCTGTAAAAAAGTACTGAAATTAAGGGCAGGCATTAATATAAAAGTCCTAGAAACCCTCTATCAATCCAGTAGCCTTTTCTGCATCATCGCAAAGAAATGAAGAAAGACGGACTCAAAACTTTTAATTTGTTCACGCACAATTTTTAGTAAATTTTAAGTCATAGAAGACTTTTTGAAAATTTTCAGAAATTTTGAAAAAATTTGCAGGCTCACTGAGGAGTTTCAATGGTCCAGAATGGTACACCATTTATGAGAGGATTATCAGCATTTGCTCCATATATGGCAACTTTAACTAGGCTATTATCACCTTCAAATTCAGGACCAATCACTGATGATCGCTTTTGTGATTCTATATGTATGTCTGTGGTAGATATCTGAGATATCTGTTTTGAATCCTAGAAGCATGATTTGATATTAAAAGTAATTGAAATATAAAACAGACAGAACGAATAAATCATTTCCTATCCTTTCCTACTATCTCTTTTACAGAACACTGAACAGATAGGATTGTATTATTATTATAATAGGAAGAAAGCATATTGAACTTGGCCCCGACTAGGAGGATACAAACGATATAACAATGCCTTTGAAGCAAATGGTTTCGTGGTTGAAGCTCTTTCATCATCCTGCTTATCGGATTCTTTGGTAGATTGTTTGCTGAATTCTGAGACAGCCGAATGATCTGTCATGTCAACTGACGCTGCTATTGCCATCGGTGAAGGTCTATAATGAATACAACAGAATTAAAAAAAAAAAAAAAAAAAAAAACATTTAAACCTTAATAAATAACGCTTCATATTATCGACATTCAATCTGATACTAATAAAAAAATTTTGGTAGTATTGTTCATCTCTTACAAAATTTTTCTACTTAATTTCACAAGATGCTGCAGCAGGATGAAATTCTATGATGGAAAAGTAAGCGGGAGAGTCCAGCGTCAAATGGGAAGTAATAATTCATTGTGCGATTGAAAGGAATTATTTTTACAATCTAGAAGATACAAAGAGGGTGAGTACGTTGCATTATCCGAGATCATGATTTGAATTTCATCACCTTCAGTCCTGTTTGCGCAAGATTTAGATTCCTTAACCGCAGAAATTTCAATCAAGAATGGAAAGTGCTCATTTTAATTTCAATTAGAATTTTTAATTTCAATTAGAATTTAATTTCAATTCAAATAGTTCAAATAGTTCCGGAGGGAAACGTTGCAGATGTTATAATTTTAGTTATAATTTTATTTGCACTTAAGCATGGTATTTAAGCTTTTCAATCACAACAACCTAGCTTATACAACTTAGAAAGTAACGAACTTGGCCTCGATGACGTCTCGACGCCTACCAAGCCAAGTTGCATAGCAAGGTTTCGGCCGAATGGATAGGTAATGCGCTTTTCGCTCACCAAAACCCATTGAACCTTTGCGACGTTTTGGAAAAACCTACAATTGTAATTGAAATTCTCATTTTCACTATTTTTTTAAAACTATACTTGTTATTTCTCAAATTGTTGAGAGTAAACTTCTTAAGAATGAAACAATCATGTCATGTAGCACTATGTAACCAATATGTATGAAACCACCGAAAATTAATCATGAAATTCTGAGCAAAATTCCGCTATTCAGTGAGAAAATTCAAAAGTTGAGATCAAATCACTAAAGACAAATTCAATTTATAGCTGTAAATAGTAAACATTCCAAAATGAGCGGAATTGATAGAACTCGATTCTTTAAAGGATTCATAAACTTGCCTCATCAGCAATCCGAAGGGTTCCCACTTTTGGTTTAAATTTTGCCAAAATTTCAGCTTTCCTGTACTCCACGTAACACGCCTCTTCTTCACGTGCCTTTTGTCGTGCTTTTTTGCGATTTTTATAGGCTTTCAGAGCCTTACTGGCTTGCTCCATTGTAAATGCCGGTTGCGCATCAGCCTGCATGAAGATATCTCAATCATCGCTTTTGAACAAATAAAAACAAAATGAATAACACTCTCCTTCTTTCTCCCTTACAGATAGATTGAGGAAATCAATTTTTTATGTCTGATCTTATTCGAAAACACCATGCTATGGTGACACTTCTACACTTAATGAAATGCACAGTGCTCAAGTTGAAAGAATCATACATGTACTATTTTATAAAGCTTGACCGCTACCTTGACCGCTACTAACTTTTAAGTACGTTTTTTTATCTTCCATTGTTATGAGATTAAATTTGAACTTAGGTGAAAATTCTCTTTCCCTTTAACTTTTTGGGTTGGAATAAATAAAAAGTTAAATTTTTTGAATAATCAGTGCTACTGCAAGCGCATTCCAAAATACAGCAACCCATTTAAGAAATGTATTTGAGAGGGGTGCTACACATTTAGTACCATCAAAAGGAACAACAGTAGTACAGCAAATTGATCCATAGGAGTTTGATGCATATCTATAAAATTTCGCTTAAAACTTCGGCATGCTTATTTGCAATTTTGCATAATAGTGCAACGTTTGGAATTTAGATTGCATTAATAATGTCGGGCTAATAGCAGTCTTTGAAACATTGATAGTTTTTATGGATAATTTGACTTTTCTTAAGAGAGAATTTCAATGACATCGAATTTTTTGCAATAAGATACAAATGTGGAGGGTAAGTTAAGCTCCTACGACAACGATCTGTTAAACCGACAGCAGCTTTCCGTAGATAACCAATTTTACGGCTTCTTTCTAAACGCCTGCTCATAATAAATAGAGAGAAGGGAAATAGAAAATTGAACCTTTGACGAGCCTAACGACATCTTACTCATTCAAATCAAATCAATCGAGTTTATTTTGCTTTACTATCTTACTTGTCACAGATTACACGATGAAACATAATGAGTGAAACAGGCGAAATAGGTTAATCGTAAGAGAAGTCAAATTGCTATGCGCAGATTTTTTGAACGAAAACGAACTGCCTAACTTCATTTTATCGATTGAAAGTTGAAGACTAGAAAAAGTTGAAGGTAAGAGTATGGAAATGATTTGACTTCTCTTACGATTGGGTAGAACGGCGAAGGATAAGTATCAAGCTCTATTCGTTTGCAATCAGAACTAGTCCAGTACTCAGTTTTCATTTCCAGGACTTGCCAACCTTTTAACTTTTTCACTCTCTCGCCAACCTTTTAACTTTTTCACTCTCTCAACTGTTACTCCAAGTTCAAGATTATTTCTCCCATAATAAAAGAATTGAATTTAAGAATTGAATTTCAGGAAAACAGTGAAAAGAAGATGGACAGGTCGGATTTTTTCGGACTGCTATTTTTTAAAGTATTTCTCAACCTCATCTTTTCAACATTTTTGGAGTTATCTGTTTAAATTTCCAATCAAAAAGCAATTTTTTTTTGCAAGATTCAAAGAAAAAGCAATTGGTTGTCAAATATGAACTTAAAATTGAGAAATTAAAGAATCAGTCAATAAATCATCATGGCCTTCAACGCAGCCATAAGTTATGTTATCCACTGTTTATGAATGCAGTATTTCAAGCTGATTAAATCGAAAACGTCAATTAGTAAAATTGGCTTCCGAAATCAATTTCTGCCAATGCAATTGATAAAATTTTTGCCTGCAAACCAGAAAACTAAAAAACAAGTGTTATTACCTAAAATTGAAAACGCGTCCTAATTGAAAGACTAAAAAAATTTTCAATGTAATTCTAATTTATGAATATTTGTTACAACTCATAAAAGATAAAAGATATCAAGTTGCCTTTTCTTCAACTACTTCCATCTCGAAAATGTTGCGCGTTGCTTACCTTGTTTACTCTACTCTGCCCCTGTTTAGCATCCTCAGCATTCCCATCATCTTTTTTAAATATTTTGATTTTCTTCAGTAGATTCATTTGATCCAGTTTTCCCTTAAATAACCATAACGGGAAAATCAAAGTATGTTAAATATTCGAGGATTGAAATTCACAACATCACTGTACTCATCCTAATTAAAGTTCTGACCAAAAAAGAAACAGGATAGAGTAGAATAAAGATTAGTTGAAGTGCTTCAACTAGCTACTGTGAACGCATTAGTCTTTAACTTTTGGAAAGAAAATGCCTGAGGAAAGAATAATGTTAGCGGAAAGTTCTATAAATACTTTGGAAAAATAAAGAATGCAACCGTCTCCAACACCTTAATAATCTAGAAAATGACAGACCCGTTCACAGACAAAGTTCTTGAAGCACCCTAACGCAGCAACAGGTTGCAACTCCCACTCTTTTGATTTCACCAATTTAATCACAGAAACTTCCAAAACTCCACAACCAATACAATTCAAGACCTCATCTTCCAATTCCAATCTTGGTAGCGCCAGTGGACCGATAAAATGTCTACGAGTTGCTGGGAATATAATCGTGAAAACACCAGATTAAGAACTCAAAAGCTCCACCATATTTGAAAATGGGTTCAAGAAGCGATTTTACGATATTCCATATGCTTTGACCTCCGTTCTTCCTATAGTAATAAGCGATAAAGTACATTCTAGAGTAACAGCCAATCAATTTTTGTAATGCACAATTTGTAATGCAACGAAGCTTCATACTTTAATAACAGGGTTGTAGTGATAATGACAACCAAATAACACAATACAGATAAATATGACAAAAAATTAAAATGTGTATGCGTACAAATCGCATCTTCCACAAAGAAACAAATCAAATTGCAGAACAAAGTAGACCAATTTAACTGACTTGGAATATGTTTATCAGTTTATGACGAAACACCAGATTTATCATAACTAGATAGACTGCTACTGATAAGAAAACAATGACATGAGGCTTTTGGAAAGAATATCATTAAGGACATAAACGGGGACGGGACTCAACAAACCGATATGCCACTGTGAAAACAGTCTATATCGCCAAACATTGTTCGTACTTATTGGTCAAATATGGACATCCCAACTTTCCAAACTTAGCAGTAGTTTCCATTCTCAATTCATCACCCTTCATCACATTCCAGTCGCAGTGATTGTCCATCAAAAGGAATTTTTTTGAAAGAAATACAAAGGATATTCAAAGTCTTCTAGCCCGTCCAATATTCTAATAAGTAAAACTCAAAAAGAAAGATTGCAGAAAACTGCAAAACTAAATGAAGGACCTTTTTCGCAATAATTCGAAAGAAAAAGAGAAATCGACCACCACCAATACATTTAAACATCATCAGAACAAAATCATTTTCATTACAATGAAAAACTTCAAAATTATGAAACGAACGGACAAAAGTCATAAGCACACACTCACAGACGTACACATACACATACACCAATAGACAAATAATGTGCAAAATACGGCAGGACAGAATGGATTAAATGAAAGAAGCCGGATTTTAAGGAAAATAAAAAATTCTGACATTAGTTTAAAAATGATAACAAACACATATGTTATATGCATGAAAAGAAAATAACTGAACACAAACTATTCTACGGAAACAGTTCTCCAAAAGGTTCAGAAATATAAGTTTTTGTATTTTCAGTCTTCATTCTTCATTCCACTTTTCCAACTTTTCGAATTTCTCAGGAAAATATGGAAGGAGATTATTTCTGTCTCTCAACTGCAATATTACTGGGAATTTCCGATCACAATAATTTTATGGAGCAACTAATACGACCATATCTTGCAAATGCCACGTATGGCTTTTCTGCAACGTTCATTACATAAGCATTAAACCTCTCCTATGTTCCAACGTTAGTTTAGCCGTCAGAAACGAGTAACAGAAAAGTAGAGGTGATACTATAATACATGTTGATAAACAGAAAAGCGATCATCTGAAAAAATCGATCATATATTTACGCCTGATAACGCAAACATTCTACTTAGCTGAAGTAGTATCCAATACGTGATGCAATGCATAAAAATATTTGATAAGTAACAAATAAAAACACAGTCGTGCAGAATCCCAAACTACTTTCAATATAAAATGGAAAAATTTTCCAAGCTACGAGAGAAAAAAGTTGAAAACGGCAGTCCCGAAATTATGCCGAAATCATATAAATCATCAGAATACAGCAACCATTTTTGTCATCAAAGATTCCAAAAATGTCTAAGAGATACATGATGCAGAATCTTTTGCATGATCAGTGCAAAGTACCATACGATCATCATCAGCAACGGTAACAGAAAAAGCTGTGCACCGGTAGCATAAGTGAACCAGATAGCATCATAATTGTTGTGGTCGAAGGAAAGAAAACAGATTGTTTTTTTGCTAGAATTTCGGAGCAAAACCTTCTAATTCTGTGTTCGGATGAATAGTAGAAACTCCAAATCAAAAAGCCTTCAACCGCTACAGACCAGCGCAAAATACTACAGCAAGTTAAAAAAAAAATACTACGCAAAATACTACAGTAAGTTTTGCAGGTAAGATGCAGTAGTTCAAAAATGAACAAGGTATCAAAAAAGAAGCAAAAGAGAGCGCATCAAACGCTGCGAACGTAGAAATTTGAAAACTTCAATTTCAAAAACAATACTAATATAAATAAAGAATGCCCGGTGTGGATGAGCCTGTTACTTGTCAAAGAAACAGAAACATAAAACGAATTTAGTGGTAAAAAAGATGTGATATAATGTGGTTAACTTTCATGTTTTACCCTAGTTCCATATCTTTAAGAAACTATCCCATGAACCGGTGCACACGGCCATTCCGTCTTCTGTAACTCCTAAACAGGACACGCGATTGTCATGACCGGCTAATACACCTAAAATTGATTTTTATATGGCAAATGATTGAGCAACGTAAAATCCATATATATTATTATGACTATCTTTCAAAACTATTTCACGACCTTTTACCACAACAAATAGACAGGAATTTCCATAATTAGGATCAAAACGACTTAAACTTGACTGGGCGTTTAATTAATCACGGTCCAAAAAATTGTGATGATTAAATAGTGATGAAGTAAGAAAAAATGTCGAAATTTTGAAGTGGGGAGAAACAATAAACATTGGCTAAGTATAAGAAGTTCGAACCGCCCGTAATTTTAACTACTAGATGAATCAAAGCATTGTCTCCTGACCAGAATTATCAAATCATTGCAGAAATTCCCTCGTACAACTATGTCTAGTTCAAGAAGACAATGAAAAGTGCATCGAAAAATCAGACTATCTAGACCAACTCGACTTTCTTGGAAATGAATTCTATTTAAACTACACCTAATTTTTATATGATTTATTGAAAGATATGGGGATAAGGAGTAACGTAACACTAGTCTGAAAAATCTTATAGCCTTCCACATTAATCTTTGTTAAACAGAAGAAATGCAAACCAAAAACCGATTTGAGTAAAACGCTACTTTATGTAGAAGAGATAAAATATTGTGTTAAAGAAATTTTGAGCTAACACTTATTCATAAACAATAATTTTTATACACAAGTGCCACAATGATGAGTGATATATATATATGCCCTTTAAATGACTTAAATTATACATACCAGCTCTTTCTTGTCGCATTGAATCCCATACATTGCAATTGAAATCATCATAACCTGCGAATAATAATCGGCCGGACTTCGAAAATGCTACGCTGGTAATTCCTAAATGATAGTAAATATAAATAATTCATGTTCTTAAACGATCGATTTAGAGAACCGTTTACTTACTATCTCTACCACTGCAAAAAATATGAAATTTTTCTATGAAACTAAGAGAAACAACAGTATAAAATTTTCCACAACGCGAATAGTGCAGAGGTACAGTTTGATCCTCGAGAAGCTTTAGAAGAACACAAATGGACCAGTGCCTGGCGAAATTACTCCACTGAGTTTTATTTCAGGAACAATACAACATACAGGATCCACTTCCCAAAAATAACTTTCGTTGAAAACTAACTGCAGAAACATGAACAAAAACATACCACATATAATATTGTCGTGAGAATACATGGCTAATTCCTGATCAGCTCTTATATCAAACAGTCGGCAGGTTGCATCATCTGAGCCAGTGGCAAAGGCATGCCCCGAAGGGAAATACTAAAAGGAAGGTAAAATGAAGGAACATCACCTTCCCAAAATATATTTCAGTAATTATAAAAAATTTTGCAAAAGTATTTTTCTTTAATCTCTTAAAACGAAGGCTAACTATTAATTTAATTTTCCTGTTCGTGACAAAATGAGGATATTTGCTCGGAACAAAACACCAAATTTACAACTCACGGCAACAGCATTGATATCACTTTCGTGTCCAGGGAACGTCTGCTTGCACATCCCATCACGGATATCCCAAAGTTTAGCGGATGCATCACACGCGCCTGATATGAACGTGCGCATATCAGGTGAGAGAGACAGCGACATCACATCACCCGTGTGACCTGTGAAAGCGGTTACTTGCTGCCCAGTTTCGATATCCCACAAAGCGCTGCAATAAATTTTAAATTTCAAATTTTCTGAAATATAGTCATGCATATCGGAACTACAAATAAATGTGTCTCTATAGCTGCGATTCCATGATGAAACCTCGCATGTGTATCAAAGTTTAAACATATTTCCTACATTTTTTCGCACTACATTCTGTCTTATTGGAAATTTATGAAAGTTATGTCCACTTTTCCACTAGTTGAGAATCAGTAGAACATCCATCAGTTTTACATCTAGTTTTACACTCATCAATTTCGAGTTCTTATAGCAAGAAAAGGTTATTCCAGTGCATTGTCATTATTTGACAACCTTCACATTAATCATGTTTTTTTAAATACAACTAATACATTCTGCTAGAAAAAATTTTGTTGCAAATTTTACACCACAGCTTACTGTTGAATAAAGCAAATGATAGCCCAAATTATATCACACCAGAATACTCAATTATTTAATTTTTTAAATTACTTCATGGGCCACTCGTCCATCCATATAATTACTTTATATCTTTAGACGTTTTTATTGCGTCCAGTGTCCAACAGATATTTGTGGTCAAAATTACCTGTTGGCATATATATGAACTAGTAATGAAATTTACATTCAAAAATGAGGTGAGAAAGTTTTATTAACAGATAGTAAAATTTCGTATTGATATATATGCTTGCCATATAACTTGCTCTATGCTCCTATTCCTTAGACACCATATTATCAATTTTTCAAGTATTATCAATTTTTCAATATTCCATTTCATTTCAAACACTTACAAATGAATATGGATCTCTGGAACTATATATATATATATATATATATATATATATATATATATATATATA